TTTCGGGTGTCAGGATTGCGGCAAGTTTCAAGACTAAGGAGTTTGAGCGCTGCAGCGGGTAGAACTCTACGCGGAAGGCATTCGAAACTGCTGGCAATAGTTTCTTTGCTGACGGCTATATAAGTCGCTAGGTTCTCCATTTTTTGCATTAATAACCCAATCCTATTGTTTCTCCCAGTTCCAGCTGTATACATAGATTTCCTCGTACCGGATCGGCTAACAACATTGTGGTCACACGTACGATATTGTTTCCATGTGTTCGACTGAAGAATCCTGTGAATGCACGATAGATAAACGATCCGCACGCAACAAGTCCGATCGGCGTTCAAAATGTATTCGGTGCGCAGGATCTAGAGGCCATCCGGCTCTAGTAATCCGCAGTGACGATCCGGCTTTGTGCAAGTATGTTCGGTATATTGTAAATCGCAAATACATCTCACAGGGACTGCTTCATTGATGGTTGTGTGCACAAGTTCAAGTCTGCATTTGGGAAGAGTCAGCTAGTACCAAACGGGTCGAAAGTTGCGGTGGCTTTCTCCGGGGGCCTGGCTTCACTTGTGATGCTTGATCTGATTCAGCGGGTAGGTTATCGTTTTGTGATACTTCAATTTATTATTGGTCGCAGAGTAACGTTCGCTTCACTCCTGTGTTGTTTCATCTCGTAGGTATGCGCAGCCGATTTTCTTTTTTATTATAATCGTTTTCTTAGTGGATGGACCTGATTCCGAACGTTTGAACCACATCCGGTCTGTGATGTCGAATTCAGGACTCGAAAATCACCTCATGGATCCGGTGCAAGTAAGAAACTTCCATCTCCCTCTTTAACATCATAATGTTTCTCCATTAGAATCGGATTCTGACTGAATTTCGTGGTAAAATGCTATCGAATTGGACTCGATCAAGCTTGAGCGAGTTTTCTGAGTTGGATACGCTGTTAACTAAACTGATGCTTGTCCATTGTGCTCGCAAGCTGGGATGTGAGTTCATCTTGCTTGGTGCATGTGGGACGCAGCAAGCGGTAAACTTTCTCGATGGAATCATTTCCGGCAGAGGAAGCTCAGCGAGTTCAGACACGGTAAGACCTAATAGTTCCCATAGTAAACCATTTCAACGCGTCGTTTAAAATTGAACTGTGTTCTGATGTTCTATTCCTAAGTTTTTTCGAGGGATGGACAATCTCTCCGATGTTAGCCTATTCCTGCGCACACGACAACCAGACTAAGAACGCACGTGTAATGATTGCTTTCCCTTCGACACCTGCTACTTCATTTGACACTACAGACACGACCTCGCGTCCGGTCGCTCAATTGGTGTGCTCTCGGTTTTAGTGGATTTTTCATCGTACAACGTCGAGATAGCACTCATTCGACTCAGTTCGGTGAGCTACATTGTGTGATATCACTCTTTTGGATATAGACCTTATGTGTATCACTTTTCTGCCGTCCGGCTGTTCGGAGCGAATTCTTCATCTTATTCACGCGTGTAAACTTGTTTAAGGTCTCACGCATTATCCTCATTGTGATATCATTTTGAAGGAAATTCTACACTATCCAATAAGATTCTGTTCAGCTCCCTGATCATTTATAAACGAGCTAAGGATATTATTTTTTTTATTCAGTTCTGTTCCGTTCCCCATCGCGTCTGCACGGGTGTCCGTCCCTCCATCTCCAGTCGCATCGATACTCACTGGTTGCCCCCGGTCTTATCAGGTCAGTGGGATATTATTGCTGTTACAGGAACTTGGCTCGCAGCTGATATTCCAGACTCCGAGTTGTCCTTATCAGAGATGTCTCTGCTCAGATGAGATCATCCCCCCATTGGCGGTGGTGTTCCACTCTACAATCGAAACAATCTTGATTGCAAGCAAATCCACCCCCAGTTTCAACATCTGACATTCTGCGCTGTAGGTTGAAACTGTCCAAACAGTCATCGTGACTGTTTGATTGGTGTGACCTATCACCCATTATCCACGGAATCAACCAATGTGACTCTTTTGAGTACTGTGTTACACATTCTAGCAAAAAAATTATACATGTTCTGCTGATGAGTAATTTCAACTGTCCCAACCTCGACAAACCGATGACCTCTCATCGTTTATTCGAACAACAACTCGTAAAGCTCATTGCCTCACAGCCACTGTACAACCACGTGAAAGAGTATACCAGATTTGGAAACTTGTAATCACCAGCGATACTGGATATAGTGTTGACAAACCAAGAGTTGATGATAGAATCGGTCGCCGTTACGGCCCCTCTGGGACGCAGTGACCATGCTGTACTATCGTTCAAATACATTGGTTACGCTTCTGTAGAAGTAATTGACCCAAACAACATTCACACATTCATAAACTACACAAATTTGCAGAGTTCGGCTCCTTCCATCCAATGGATATCTCATGGGGAAGAGCACAACTCTTTAGTTGTGTGGCGGGAATTTATTGACAGTCTGCAACAACTACTAGCGTGGGTGAAGTAGGTAAAACTTGTCACCAAACCCAGCAGCCGAAAATCACCTATTCGAAGCAGTACAAAGAAATGGATACTCCTGAGGGACCTCTCTTTAAGAAAGTACAAACGACTTCCAAAGGTATGCACCTGGGACAAATACCGACTACCGCGAAACCACTGCGCCAAGTTGTCGCTCGAAGATAAACTAAACCATCAAGAATCTCTGGAACAGAGATTTATTTCAAACACCACGGTTTTGTACAAACATGTCAACTCCGCTCGAAAAGTTAAACAAGGAATATCTGTGCTCAGTTCAGGAAAAGCCACAGCCAATAGAATAGAAGCCGCCGAGGCGATGTTCACTAGTAACACCCCTGAACGATTTTTCACATAAACATTGTGACTACTCCTAACTGATGTGAATTCCATAGATCACAGGGCTCTTCGAACTATAATCATAAAAATATTTATCAATGATATAACGTCAAAATAAAATAAGCAACAAGAATATCACATCGTTCAACAGGGATGCAGTTGTCTAGTGTAGACCGAGAATGTGTCCATATCCGTGGGAAAGGTTTCATGAGAANATTCGATATTGAACCTCATGAAAGTGGTCCCCGACGGGCCCATACAAGTTCTTCAATCGCCGCCTGATCCTACTCCAGAAAGCCTCTACATTGTTTGTGTGAACGCCAGTAGCAGGATGTACATATCCGTCTGAACGATTCACACACATATGGATGTTTCCCAACGAAGTCAGCAACCGATAAGCAGCCCATTGGTCTGTATGAATGGTATTCCCGGGAGCGACCCAACGCTGTATGATTGGAAGAAGAGTTTTCGCAGATCTGGAAATATTCTTTCTCCAGTGAGCGGTCGTACATTCCAAACATCCAGACACTTGGCGGTTATCTCCCTCGCACATATTTGCTCCTCACGGCAACACTTTCGTCAACTTCGACAACAACTCCAGATCTTGCGAGCTGGTTTGTCAAGGAACACAAAGCCGAGGACAAATATCACAGCAGTAAGTGAAACATTGTATGGCGCACTTCTTAGTGATGTTTCCCATTACGGCAGCACGGATTACAGGCTCGTCCATCAGGAAATAAAATATTAATTCCATTAGTTTATCCAAAGACAATTTTGGCCTTTCGAAAAATATATTCACGCGTATGGATGTTCGTTTTTTGCACTTAGCGCAGCGTAATGTCTGTCCGTCGATGCAAGACTGTAACTCGTGCAAACGCATAATATGTCCACACACACAAATTCTTTCATTTCTAATTAATTCTCGGTCTTGCATGTACTCGATACAGACTGTACCTTTGAATTCGTTCAAGAGACGAATAAAATATCCGAGCCACTAGTTTTCCTGTTGCAGAGGTTGTTCGATCACAATGCAGTCCCACTGTCCTGGAGACAGGGAGTAATTTCACCCATTTACAAAAGCGGTTGCCGTAGCTATCCCGCTAACTACTACTCTGTAATCCTCCTTACAGTGTTGTTCAAAGTCATGGAGTCCATAGTAGCAGATTCCCTGATGGAACACCTAAAGAACCACGACGTTATGCCACCGAATCAATGTAGATTCCGACAGAAGCGATCCTGCGTTACCAATTTCGCACGAGATGAATGGATAAAAACAGTTGATGGCGATGTGGTAGACGTTGTTTGCCTGGACGCGTTCGATCGGGTGAACCACGACATTCTGCTGCGAAAACTCTATAATTACGGTATTTGGGGCTTGATTGGATCGAAGCATTTCTCCGACATCGCATCGTATCGGTTCGTGTTTGTGATTCGCTTTCCAGTCTTATCGACGTTACCCGCAGGGTTCCACAAGGATTTGTGCTTGGCCCGCAACTTTTGGTAACATTCATAAACGACCTACCAAAGACTCTGAGACCAAAATCAGCTTGCAGATGACGCCGAAATTCGGAGTGCAACCAGCGGGCACTCCAGGAGACGCTGAAAGTTGCTCATCTCTGGTCTCTTTGAACAATATTGAATTCAATGTGCCCAAGTGTAAAGTTCTATTTCTACGACATAAGGAGTGATTTTCATATTTCCTCGGAAATGAATAACTGCCAAACGCCTCAAGTGAGAAGGACCTTGGCACCATCATTCAAGAAAATTTAAGCTGCTCACTCAACTTCGCCAGGGTGTCGAACGCAGCTGTAAATAATATCGGTTTGCTTAGGTGTGTCTTTGGATGGTTTGAGTCAGCACTTTTCCACCGTCTACTATCAGCATACAATCGCTCACTCACAGAATACTCTATCCAGGCATGGAATCCATGACTACAACGTGATTGCGAAATGCCGGAGCGTCCACAGAGGATGGCCACCAAAGTGGTTAGGGGGTTGAATCGTTATTCATACGCAGAGGGACTGGAGTCGTTAGGGTCATACTCCAATCACTACCGGCGCATTTGGTATACGAAATAATGCAAAATCCAAGCCATCATTGTCACCCGCTGCTAAAATTATCACCCAGCGTTCATCTTAGAAGACATCCGTTCAAACTAATGGTATCAAAATGCCGATTGGAATGCCGGCGTCAGTCATTTGCAGTCAGAGTATGTTTCATCTGGAACTCTCTCCCACCCCACGTCGTCTGTGCGCCAAACAGTGAATCTTTCAAACTGGGAATTGATGAAGCATTAGCACATCTGACATTCCAACATAAGTGAAGCTGCTTGCAGCAGTGGAAGAATCCCGTATCATGTGACATTTTACACAAGGAATTGTATGTACCACTTTCTTTTTACCGTAACTCAAACCTATGGGACGAGCATGAGCTTGTAAGTTATTCCCATAATAAAATTTGAACTTTGAAGCTGTACGCCAAAGCCATTTTGTGCCTTTGTCAGAGATTATTCATCAAACTCTGTGTTTATTTTTGGAATTAAATCGATTCGGGTCTATTAAAAATTTACAATCAGCCTGTCGTGATCAGTGATTTTTTTTGTTCCGAACAGTTTTGTGAATACTGGTGCTCGGGTTAATGTATTCTGAATATTTTCCCTGTCTCCTGTTCCAGTAGTTTCGAACTGTTTCAATGAGTGAAAGGCCCGCCACCACTCCACCACGGTGGTTTAGGTGATGGTCGACCACTTACCGTTTGTGAACTGTATATTGTTAAAAGGAAGCATGACTAATTCAAGAAACCAACTTGGCGAGCATTCAGAGCTGGGCTAATAGTAATTTTTCGGACGAAGACCGAGGGGACACCTGTTTTACCACATCGAACGGTGTTTGTTCATTCCTTGTCCCCGATTCCTTCATTCTGCGTCTTGAATGATTCGACTGATCGTGATGTTCGGTGCGCATTCTGCACATCTGAATTGCAAAATGTTATTACACATTTAGGTTAGTCTAGCCTCAAATTTTACCTGACCAGGGTAGAGAATAGAGGCAGTAGACGGATTTTTTTTACTTAAGTAGGTATATCTCATCTGTCCGACACAACATTTGAATACTCGGCACGTACACAAAAGACTCAGTTGGTCAACTTGGGAAATCTATAGTGCCACCGCGATATTTGATTTTATTTGGAGTGTGATAAGTGGATTCTGCAGATTTTCAATAGATTCTCCCATACAATGCTAAGACATGGCAGT